GATCCTGCTCTGTCACCCAGGCTGGAGTGCACTCAGGCAATCCTAGCTCACTGCAGCCTCAAACTTCTGGGCTCAAGCGAACCTCCCCCCTGAGCCTCCTGAAGAGCTGAGACTACAGGTGCTTATCATGACACCTAACTATTTTTTTTTTTTTTTTTTTTGAGACAGAGTTTCGCTCTTGTTACCCAGGCTGGAGTGCAATGGCGCGATCTCGGCTCACCGCAACCTCTGCCTCCTGGGTTCAGGCAATTCTCCTGCCTCAGCTTCCTGAGTCGCTGGGATTACAGGCACGCGCCACCATGCCCAGCTAATTTTTTGTATTTTTAGTAGAGACGGGGTTTCACCATGTTGACCAGGATGGTCTCGATCTCTTGACCTCGTGATCCACCCACCTCGGCCTCCCAAAGTGCTGGGATTACAGGCTTGAGCCACCGCGCCCGGCCGACACCTAACTATTTTTTAAAAATGTTTTTGGAGACTATGTTGGCCAGGCTAATCTCAAATTCTTGGCCTCAAGCGATCCTCCCACCTTGGCCTCCCAGCATGCTGGGATTACAGGTGTGAGCCACCACATCCGGGCCAGGTAAGACTTCTGAACACACACTGTGGACCAGCCATGACTGCTGGCACCTAGGATTCCCAAAACAAAGCAAATCACAACATCCTCGAGCCCTCGGATCCTCCTCACAGACAAAGACAGTAAACAAACAAGCACAGAATATCAGGAAATCACAGCCTAGTGAAGAGCCGTCCGCTGTACTAAACCTCAGGAGGGGTGTGGGAAGCTGCAATTTTGCAGAAGGTGCATGGTGGTAAATGTTACTCGGGAGGTGATATTTCAAGATGGTGAGGAGCAAAAGTCTTGCAAACATCTGGGGGAGGGTCCTAGGTGGCACCAACAGCCAGTGCCAAGGCCCTGGGGTAGGATCAGGCTTAGCAAGTTGGAGGAGCAACCAGGATGGGGGAGGTGTCCCAGGAAGACCATGAAGGACCAGACCCCAGGACAGCCCAACCCGGGGTGCTACTACAGTCAGCATCTGGGGCTGCCCTAGAAGCAGAGACATACGCCTTCTCCCCTACTCCCATGAGAGGAGAGTTTTGTTTTTTTTGTTTTGGTTTTTTTTTTTTTTGAGACTGAGTCTCACTCTCGCCCAGACTGGAGTGCCGTCTCAGCTCACTGCAACCTCTGCCTCCTGAATTCAAGCGATCCTTCTGCCTCAGCCTCCTGAGTAGCTGAGATTACAGCGCCCATCACCACGCCCAGCTAATTTTTGTACTTTTAGTAGAGACGGGGTTTCACCATGTTGGCCAGGCTGGTCTCAAACTCCTGACCTCAGGTGATTCACCTGCCTCAGCCTCCCAAAGTGCTGGGATTACAGGTGTGAGCCACCGCACCCCGCTGACAGGAGAGCTTTGATGGAAACCCTACATGTGTTGCTAGACCGTGAGCTCCACAAAGACAGGACATGGCCGCCACACCCCATGGCGCCGGGCACGGCACTGGGTAGCAAAAGTGCTTGGCGAATGTGTGCAGACTGCATGACAAGGCGCACCCCACCTCGCTCCCAAGGAGTCCTGAGCACGCAACTGCAGGTGCGCACGAGATGCAGACAGCCCCATGTGTGCACGCAGCTGCAGGTGCGCACGAGATGCAGACAGCCCCATGCATGCATGCAACTGCAGGTGTGCACGAGATGCAGACAGCCCCATGCATGCACACAACTGCAGGTGCACAGGAGATGCAGACAGCCCCATGCGTGCACGCAGCTGCAGGTGCGCACGAGATGCAGACAGCCCCATGTGTGCACACACAGCTGCTGCTCCTTGCAGCCCCGCCCCCACAGCACGACCACCCCCTCTGCAAAACACAAACACCAGCACATGAGGGACCCCTATGAACACTGGATGAGCCTGATGGACACGTGGCTACACTCACGATTGGCTAGATCACCATCCAGGCCACGCACACAGAGGACACCTACACACAGGTGCAGACAGACAGACACCTGGATTCCAGGGACACCAGGACCCCCTCCCACGTCTGTGCTTGGCCTCCACCCCACTCTAGGACCCATCTCTCTCCTTCCATCGGCGTGCCCAACAGCAAGTACTCTGCCCCACACCCAGCCTGGGAGGTGCTGTCTGTCTTTCCAGGGCACCTCCAGGGTCACTGGGGTCAGGGCTTCAGAACCAGGGAACCCCTGCCTTGGAACCCCTCCCCTTGCCTCCCCACGGAGGGGCTGGAGGAGGGGAAGTGTCTGGCATCTGGAAATCAGATCCACGAGAGGAACCCACACAGAAACCAGACCCTTGCGTGTCCTTGGCCACACGTCTCCCGGGGAGGCAGGATGGGTGGGGGGCAAAGCCGATGCTGCGGCAGGGTCGGCACTGCCCCCACTCCTCCCGCTCCCCTTCAGGGCACCCGCTGCCACCCTGCCCACCAAGATGCCTTCACTGGGGCGGAAGGAACACATGCTCTGCCACCAGCCTGGCAGGGCAGGGAGGACGCAGATGCCCCGAGACGCACGCATCATTCATGCGGCCTCGCTTGCAGGTGGAGACGCCACAAGCCAGGAGCCCACACCGCTAGATGCAAACACACTCCCTAGCCGCCGAGGCGCCTGCAGGCCCCTCCCCAGCATGCCCACAGGGTCCTCCTAGGCTGCTCAGGAGAAAGAGCTCCCCTGGGCAGGTTGGGAATAGACGCTGGGCTTCCAGTCCCCCCCCACCTCCTCCCTGCAGGCCCCACAGCCCAGGTGTGCTGGTGGCCAGTTCCCCATCCTCCCCAACCCTGGGTGCCAGCTTCACCCCCAAGGGCAGGCATCAGTGTGGGGGACTCAGGGTATGCAAGCCCCTAGAAGTGGGGATAGAGATGGGCGCCCCTTGGAGAAAGAGAGGGCCTGCGGGGGGTTGTCCTGGGGCAGGTGCCACACACACAAAGGGTGGACAAAGCACGGCCACATGGGAGGTCACCAAGCTGGGGAGGAAAATGGTGGCAAGAGCAGCGGGAGGGCTGGCACCCACATGTGAGTGCACACGTATATGGCTCCGTGCACGGGGGCGATCACCGCCAGCCATGGAATTAGTTTCCTTTTCCAAATTCCAGATGATTTTTCATCTCTGTAATTAATGGGCAAGTCAGTTCTGAACGGCATGGCAGGCAAATTACTAGTTAGAAAAATCAAGGATAATTTTCTCGATATGATAATGAAGGTTGTATTCCTTCTCTTATTCTCCCTGTTTTCATCCTACTTTTAAATAATAAGTTTGGCATTAGTGGGAGGGGAGCAGGGAGGAAGAAGTCACCTGTCCCCCAAAGCCGTGGCCTGGCAGGGGCCCACGCAGAGTTGCCTGCACACACCCACCCCCACCCCCCTCACCCCCAGCCTGTGGGACAGATTGGAGAAGAGGATGAGGGGTATGGACCCTCCTTGGGGGTGATCGACTTAGGGGGTCAGGCCCTGGAGAGCAGGTGGGGGCAGGGAGCCTCCAGGCTGTGAGCCAGGGTGAAGAGGTGGGGTCTGAGGTCAGGTGAGACTCATGCCAGCCCTTGGGGTGCTAGAGATAGAAGCAGAAACCAATGGCCTGTCCCCAAACATCTCAGAGGTCAACAGCCCAGAAAAGACATAGACATCTACCCTCAGGTGTGCCCCACTGGGTCCAACTTCCTCTCCGAGGTGACTCCCTACCAGGCTAAGGAAGCCAGGGGAGCAGAGAGAGGGGAAGAGAAAGTGTGAGAGAGAGAGAGAGAGATAGAGAGAGAGAGGGAGAGAGCGCGCGAGCGAGCGAGCTCGAGACAGCCATCTTGGCAGCCATTTTGAACCCCTCCCCCTCCTGCCCCCAGGCACACATGTCGGGATGTGGAAGGTGGGAAGGCAAACCCAGGCTCTGGGTCCTGTGGAAGCCAGGAGGAAAGGGGGGCCCTGCCTGGAAGGGGGATCCAGGGACACCCACACAGCTGCCATGGCTGGGGGTGGAGGGGGGTTGAAACAGGAGGAAAGGGACCAGGCAGGTGCTGCCAGGGATGGGGCAGTGTGAGGACCCGGACGGGAAGTGTAGGGACAGGGGTGTATGCAGCCAGGGGGCCATCTTCAGATGGTGGCCGGGATGCATGTGAGAGATACCTGGAAGGGCATTTTCTGGACGGGGCTGGAGCAAATACAGCACACCCCGCCACCCCACCACTTCAGGCCTGACTCGTGTCCCAGGACCGTCAGATGGGAGGATGACAACCGAACCCTCGGAACTCTATACGATGCGCACCTGGGGTGGGGGTGGGGAACTGTCCTCAAAGCACGAATAATCCTGGTGGATCAAACCTGCCGGCCTCGCGTGCTCTCCCCGGCACCACGGAGAGAAGAGGCTGCCCGGCTGCACCCCCTCCTCCTGACAGCGTCGCCCCCCGGGCTGCGGCCGGCTCGACACCCAGACAGACCCCTCCCCATCCCCCGCGCCACTGCCTCCCAGAGAAAAACAACCCCCTCGCCCAGCATCCTGTGGTGCCAGCCCTCGACAAGGCTCCTCCGGGGCCCGGGGCCGGCGCGCGGCGCGCACACGCACCCCCTCCGCTCACACCCAGACACCTACACAAACAGGGCGCCAAGCACCCGCGCGCACACGCACCGGGGACACGCAAGCACCGCCGCGCCGCTTCCCCACAAAGGCTGGCGCGCGCGCGGGCACACGCAGCCACGCGCGGGCACACTCGCGGTCCCCTCCCCCAGCCAGGCACCCTGCGGCCGCCAGTCCGCACCCCCGCGCCCTGGGCGCTCCGTGGGGGCAACCCCTCCCCGACCCCTAGCAAGTGGGGGTGGGGTGCGGGCCGCCCCCGACGCCCCTCCCGCTCAGGTGCGGTGCCCCGCGCCCCTCCAGCGTCCCCTCCCCCCTCGCGGCCAGGACAGGCCCGGGCTCCCATCCTTCCCGCCTCCCCTCTTCCGCGCGCCCCGCACACCTGGCCCAGGTGCGGCGTCGCCCCTCTTCCTGGGCCCGCAGACACTCACCTGTCCAGCGCCGCTCTGGGGTCGGCCCAGCGTGTCCCTCCTGCTGCTCCGCGAACCCGGGCCCCCCGCCCGGCACATCTCCCGGAGCCGGGGCAAGGGGGAAGAGGGTAGGGGGTGGCGGGGCGAGGGCGGCCTCCGTGTCCCTTCCTTCCCCAGGCCCAGCACCGCCGTCACCGACCAAAAATTGAAAAAAAAAAAAAAAAAAAAAAAAAAAAAAAAAAAAAAGGCAGATTACACCGATCCAAAGGCGGCCCCCTCGCGGCGGCGGAGGCTCGGGACTGGGGGCGATCGGGTCTGCGCCCCTCCCGGGGAGGGAGGCGGTGGAGGCGGCGGGGCGGGGGCGGCGTCAGAGAGCCGGGGGCTGGGGCGAGGCGGAGCGCCCCGAGGCGGCGCCGGCAGCGGCCCGCATCTCCCCCGCAGCTCCGCGGCCCCGACGGAGGCGGCACGTGTGGGCCCAGGCGACTTCCCAGCCCCCTCCGACGGCGGCGGTGGACGAGGGGTTAATGGGGCAGGCAGGGCGCCCCTGCAGGCCCCCGCCGCCCGGCGGTGCCACTCCGGGGCCCGCGCGGCCCCATCCGCCGGGGCCTCCTCGGCAGACGGCGGGGCGGGGGCGCCTCAGCGCCGACAGCTCCCGCGCCGACGGCTCGGGCTCCCCGCAGTGGCCGCGGGGGGCTCGGGTTGGGGGCGGGAGGCGCGGAGCTGGCTGAGGGGGGCGGCGCGGCTGGAGGCGGGTGCCGCGGCGTCGCGCCCCCGGTGCGGCCGGAGGGGGGGGCGCTGGGCCGGGCCCGTGGGCACCGCAGGACGCGCGGACCGAGCCGGCGCCGGGCACCAGCAATGACAAGCCGCCTGCTCGCCCCGCTCCCCTGCGCACCCGCTCCGGGAGGGGGGCGGCGGGCGCGCGCAAAACCCGGCCCGGAGTCGCCGCCCGGGACTGGCCGCCGCAGCCTGCCTGAGCGCCCCAGGAGCCGGCCCGAAAACCCGGGCTGGATTTTCCTTCCCTTTGCCTCCACTCGCTTCTTCCCTGGAAATGCAGGGAGAGGGAAGGCGACGTGCCGGAGCCCCGTGTTGGAGCGGGGAGTGGGGGAAGGGAGACAGACGTAAGGAAAACCCGGAGCGGATTTTCCAGCTGCGAAGTAAAAGGAAAGGCGCCGAGCCCGGGGAAGGGGGACGCAAATGGGGAGATCTGGAAGGCTTGTGCAAAACCCGGGTTGGATTAGACAAAGATGGGAGGAACGGTGTGGGGGCGTGGGGGGGAGCTGCGACACGGCCAAATGCACCCGGGGCACGCAAATTTCGGGCCGGATTCTTCCTCGGGAGACGGAGTAATGCGTCAGGCCTAATGCAGTGGAAACAAGCAAGACCCGGCCCGGAATTCCTGGGACCTGGGCTCGCATGGCGGGGGCTGGAAGGGGGATGCTTAGTGGCTGAGGCAACTGCCCTCATCTTCCTGGCCGCGACGTGCAAGGGGGAGGGGCAAAAGGAGGACTGGACTCAGGTATGAAGGGATTCGGCGCACTGGCTGCACCGGAGCAGGCAGGTGAAAGCGGTTTCTGGATCCAGGGGCGCAGCGAAGGGAAAGCGATGAGGCCGCTACCCTGGGAGACCAGACCTACAATAAAAGGCGAGGGCGGCACGCAAAGCCAGGACTGGAGCAAGCGGAACGGGATGAGACCCTCAGCACAAGATCCCGGGCCACCGGGACAGGGGTTTGGAGCTGAGCGGGCAGCAGGGTCGGAGGGAAGCGTTAGGGGAAGGTTTGTATCTATAAACGCCTCAAAGTCTTGCTTTTGGAAGAGGGGTGTGGGGAGAAAATGGAATTTTATGTTCACCGCAAGAGTAAAAACCCGGTCTGGATTTTCACCACCTAACAACTCCATTGTAGGGGGTGTACTCTAAGAAGTAGGGCAAGAAACAGGCTGGGGTTCCCAGGCATCAGACCAAGTGAGGCGAGGGGCAGGCTTCTGGTTGAGGCTGCAGAGGGAGCCCCCGCACCCTCTCCCTGGGGTGGGGAAGGCTGTTGGACCCGCCTTGGCTCTCCGGAGAGCCAAAGCTATGACTGCCAAGACCTATAGCGGGGGCTATAAAACCGGGCCCCAAGCCAAAAATAGGCACTTCGGCAGAACAGGCAACTGAGTGCAGGTTGGAGGCTGGAGGGAAGTGGAAGTCGGGGGCAGAATCCTGGAAGGGAAGGAACGGGAGGTGGGGGAGCCCCTGAAGCGGGGGTGCTGGCTCCATTTTATAAAAGATGGGTGCAACTGGAAGACTGACTGCTGGGGAGGAGCAAAACCCAGGCTTGCATCCTCAGGGAAGGGGATCCATTCAAGTGAGACCTAAATGTTAAAGCAGTCAGCTCAAAGTTCAAAGTCGGGCTGAATCTTAGCAGCAGGGCAGACAAATCCTGATCTGAGCTTTAGAGGAAGAGGATAAGCTGAGGATGGGGATGGGGGAAGCTCCCATTCCCTACGTGTACATGGAAGAGAGTGCTCACCAGGCGCTTTGCAGAATGAATGAGGAACGGAAAAGGGTTCCTGAGTAGGAGTGGTAAATAAACCAAACTTGGGACATATCTGGATGGAAAAAAGGGGCATCTAAGAGAGCATGAATTGAATATCTGCACGGGAATGAACTTGGCCTCTGAGAATCTCTTCCTAGAAGCATGTCCCTGTGGCTAAACTGGTCGACCGGCAGGGACACCAGACTTCCAGGCTGGCTGGTGACCACGGGCTACCGCTGTGGCAGCCTGTCACCCTCCACCGCCTTCTCTGGACAGCTGTCATTTCAGAACTTCGAAAGGATTCTTGAAAGCCAGAATCTAGGCAAATCTGAACCCAGAGAACTTCAAAATGGAGGGATGGGTCACTCTCGTTCCTCCTTCATGCCCAGGATTTCACGGCTGCAGAGCTGTCCAGCCTTGAATATGGGTGGCCAGGCTGGACACCTGGATCTGGGAGACCAAAGGGGTAAAACGTAGGAGTTGGTGAGTGCAAAAAGGAGCCCATCTATCTGTGGCTGACTGCAGATCTACTGGGTATGGAGGAGGGGATCCCATCTCTCTATGCGTCAATTTTCCACTTTGAGATATTGACAGCACCAAGTAAGACCCTTGAAGGCTTTCAGATGCTGGGCACTCCAGGCAGCCAGCTTTCTATAAAGCCAGCAGTACCGAAACGGGAACACAACTTGGAGCTCAGGAAAAGCTGGTCCTCCTTGTTGTCTGGTCCCAGACCTCCTGCCCGCACCCCACCCTCCAGCCCTGAGCAGCACACCCACTTCCCCCTACAGAGCGAACCTAGGAGGTAGCTCTAACTTGCATTCTCCAGAGGCTTCGAGAAGTGGCCTTTAATTAGATAAGGGAAAACAACGTTCTTTAAAGCACCCTCAGCTCAGTTTGGAAAATCCCGGCCGGAACCCCTACCCCCACCCCCGCACCCCATCCCCGCCCCTTTCTAGACCCTCTAAACGCCCCTGGTCCCAGCTGGGATCGGTTCTCCAGCCTCCATCTGATCCGTGTCTCCTGGACTTGTGAGCGGCATGCTCACAAGGCAAAGGTTGCGGAGAGGCTGGGGTGCTCGTAAAGAGCCCCGGCGCCCCCCAGACCTTCGGCTGCGCAGTCGCAGTGGAGGCCGCGCCAGCTACTGGGCTCCGGGAAGCTAGGCGTCCGCGCGCGCACACAGACTCGCCTGCGCGCTGCGTGCCCCGCTCTGCCCGGATCTGTACCCGCTCCCGGGGCGCTCCTCGCTTCCAGCCTCCCACTTTGCACCTTGGGATCCCCAGGAGCCCCGCGCCTGAGACACCCCATGCTCTGCACAGAGCATTCCGTCCCACGGGACCTCCACACCTACCCTGCCACGCGCCTTGAGTACCCCACGTTCTGTGAACTCTGCACCTGGACGCCCCACCTTCTGTGCACCCGATGCTAGAGAGCCCGCCCAGGGTGCCCCATGCCTAGGGCACCCCATCTTCTCCTTCTGCTTCTCTGGGACCTCACATTCTGTACACCTAGCACCTCCAGCATCCCAGCGCCAGACACAGTTGGGCTCACCCGTGCCCTGTCTGTCCCCTCTGTGCCTTCCATGTATTGTGCCCACTGCCTCGGTTGGGACCCCGGCCTCAGCGTCCTGAAGGCTCTGCTTCGCCCCAGCGCTCAGCTTCCCTTTGCCTCAGGCCCAGCGCCCTCGTTTCCCGGTACCCTGCCTCAGGCTCCTGGACAGGTCGGGGCAACACCAGACATCCACTGCCCATCAGGTGCCCCCAGCCCGGCCTTTCCTAGAGTCCCCTCGCTATAGGATGCACGACCCTGCTGTTCATTTCCATTTCCATTTACGCCTCAAACACGCAGTGTGCACTGAGGATATGCTTCCAGTGCACAAAGAACAAGACAGGAAGGTTCTCGGGCACTGCCTTCATCATGGAGAAGATGGACACAGACGTTGTGATGGAATAAGCCCTGGAAAGTCAGAAGGTGCCTGGGAGTGGGGGATGGACCCATCCAAGCCTCGAGGTGTGGGTGGAGTTGTGTGTGTCCCTGGCCTTTCGAGAGGCCCCCTGGACCCCCATCTTCGGCAACTTCTTTTATTTATTTGTTTGTTTATTTATATTTTTATTTACCATGTTGGCCAGGCTGGTCTTGAACTCTTGACCTCAAATGATCCGCCTGCCTCAGCCTCCCAGAGTGCTGGGATTACAGGCATGAGCCACTGTGCCCGGCCCCAACTGTGGCCTTTGCAAGCAGGTGGGGAGCACTGAGTCAGCCAACAAACATTTATTGAGCACTTACTGTGTGCCATTCACTGGGCTAGGTGCTGGGGACTCAGCAGTGAACAAGGTGTCTGTCCTCTGAGGCTAACATTCTCACTGTGGAAAACACAGGAGATCAGACAAATAAATAAAAGATACAGGATGGGGGCCAGACACAGTGGCTCATGCCTGTAATCCCAGCACTTTGGGAGGCCGAGGCGGGCGGATCACCTGAGGTCAGGAGTTCGAGACCATCCTGGCTAACACAGTGAAACCCCATCTCCACTAAAACTACAAAAAATTAGCTGGGTGTGGTGGCACGTGCCTGCAATCCCAGCTACTCAGGAGGCTGGGGCAGGAGAATAGCTTTAACCTGGAAGTGGAGGCTGCAGTCAGCCAAGATTGTGCCACTGTACTCCAGC